TAAAGAAACAAGTAAAAACGTTAAGTGGGCAGTACATGTACATATATGGCTTTAAAAAAGGAGGGATGGACGAATAATAAAATTAAGATGAATCAATTATAAATAAGTTTATAATCTGATAAAGTTTTACAGTTTTAAAAATTAGATATACTAAAATCTTATATTTGTGATTAATAGTATAAAAGTTTATCGATTCAATTTAAACTAATGTAATTGAATTGACTCTACAACTAAATTCAGAACCGACGATTAAAATGTCAACAAATATCCTAAAATTATTATTGTATTCCAACAACTAAATACTCTTATTATCTATTTTCGTACATTTTGAAACATTACACTAATTAAAACTATTCATTTTGTCAATAATCGAGTCCTCTCTATTCACATTATAACAATACTCGAAGAAAGATTTATTTGTTCGAAACTAATTAAATTTACATTAAATTTGATGCGTATATTTTTAAGTTTACATTGGTTTAAAAAAAATACTGAATTGATAATTATATTGTATTTGATACCTTAAATACACCTTTAAATTTTAAAAATGTACTTTATCAATTTTAACTTAACAAGAGCGATAAGAAATTAATGTATCATGATCGAGACTTGAAGTTCTTGTGCAATAAAAAAAATGTAACAAGCTTATTGTTTAAATTAATTGTCATAAAATCTTTTATACTGAATTTTTCTTCTTCATATAACACTGTTACATTTATTTTATTACATATCGCCATGTTTTCGGGCTGCTTTGGAGGATATCAAACAAAATGACATGTGACAAAAGATTTTAAAATATATATAGAACTTTTAAAAGAATAAAATATATCATAAATTTATCCCAATCATATTTATAGAAAGAAAATAGAACTGAGGTTTTATATAAATGGATTATCAATCGTTTAAATTTAAATATATCCAATGTATTTCTCTTTATATATATATAAAGTCGTATCGATTGATGCAAGAATAACAAAATTACGAAGAATTTCCAACTTAGAATGACAGAAATGAATAAATAAATATCTTTTGAAGTTCATAAACTTATTTGTTTAACTTTAATTGATTCCTTTAAATCTTTCTGTAGATAATAATATACCAAATATATACAATATAATGCTTAGTAATTCGCAAAGTCATCGTTCTAGAATTCATGAATAATGTTCTTTCTATATTTGGATCGTTAAGAAAGTTCTGAAAACACCAGTGTTCTGTCATATTTGTTTTAGGGTGGTAATCCACACACAGAGAAAGCTGACAGGAAGAAATCTATTGCTTGTGTAAACAAGTAAAAACACAAGAACTAGCTTTACTTGATTTTGTTCAGGAATGCTTCCTGCATTCTCAAAATAAATTTGTATCTTGACATTCGTGATTGCTAATAATTACTGGTTTGTTGTGAAATGTATTTTCTTGCATTGGTTAGTTTTAGTTTTAGAAGAAAGTTCATACTTTTCTTTAAAAAGAAAGGGGGAAAATACATTTTTCAATTTATTAAGAACAGTAATTTAATATAAAGAAGACAAGTCAGTCTACAAAATAAATTACATTTTAAAAGTATTTATTAAATGATAAAACTCGTTCATTTGCCATTATACTCTTAATAATTGTAATTGTTCGTATAATAACAATTCAATGATCAATTCGAAATAAGTAAAGATAATTAAACATATTATATATTGAATTTGATTAATGAAAATGAATAAAGTTAACTAATTTTTAAATTATTTATTTATTAATGCTGATTCTTATCGTGCAGAAATAATCGTAAATTGGTTTAACCAACATTAAAAATTTAATCTTATTCTTAAATAGGGGCGTAGACAAAGCAATTTTTTGGAAAGTTTCGAAGACAAACTGCTTTTAGGATTCAACTTTAGCATTCCTTTCCCTTATATTATCGCACGAATATCTACAAGAAACTTTGTCTACGCCCGTTTGAGAATAAGGTTAAATTTTAATGCTGAATAGACTAGTTTAGGGCGATAAAGATCAATTTTATGTGATAAGGATCAGCATTAATATATAAATAATTTTAAAAATATTAGTTTCAAACTGAACAGTAATAGCAGCATTGTATTAATTAAGCTGTAACTTTTAATGTTTATTAATATATATATTCTGATCATTTATACAACTTTTTCAGGGAACAGATGTTAAATTTTGGATATATTTACTATAATTGTATTCTCAACGTATATTCTGCTCATTAAACTCCTTAAACTCTATATTATATGCTCCACACGTCGCACGATTATTATTATACCTTATACAGTTTACATAATGTTATCTATTAACAGCAAAGATACCCTTTTAGAATAAAGTTATAATTATGTATTTATTTAATGAGTTCAACAATAAAAAAAAAGATTAAAAATAGTAAAAAAAGCATTTATTCTTCTTTAGACTGTTACCAAAAAAACAACTGTTCAAAGCAATAATCTGATAACACAATAGTAATTATTTCATTTATAAGATATTAGTGACCCATTTCTCATTATGAGGTAAAGATAATTGATCATAAGTTTCTATTAATAGACGACAATTGACAATTCTCATATCAGATAACGAACTTTTTCTCGTCGTTGTCGTCCTAAGGAAAAAACTAAAGAAGAAAAAATAAGTTAATCATAAACTTTCATTTCTAGATAATGATAATTGCTTCGTGCATCTGATGATAATGAAAGTCCTTTTTTTTCTTTTTATTTTATATATATATTTTTTCTTTTATTAACAAATTGAGTTTCAACATATATACAATACATCATATTATTTGTGATCATTACCGTTTCCGGAGTTAAAGACAAATGTTTTATGTATACACTAGCAGGATATATTGTCCCACTTTTGTTTGTAGCAATTTAAAGAATTTATGCATTTCCCTAGTACAATAGAATTGTGCTTTTAAAATTGTTTTGGATAACAGTAGTAAACTATATTTAATAAATAAATCTCTGGTATTATAGCAGCGTTTTCCTTTTATATATTTTTTTTTTATTATTATTAAAAAGAGATTTACTCTAGAATTTTCTGTCTGTCTGTATGTTTTCGTTAAAAATCTCGAAAATCAATTTGAGATAGATACTTCAAACTTTCAAAATAGTTTTAAGGATCCTTATATAAAGTCTTTAGAGTGTAAATTACATCTTTGAATACTACTTCGGATGAAATTATATCTTTCATCCGAAAAGATTTTTAAAAAGGAAAAAAATTTTTAAAAATTCACTTGTAATTTTAAACAATACTATATTCTTTTAAAATAATTCAAAATTTATTTTTTTTAAATGTGAAACAATACTTTTAAAACCTTCAGAAACACTGTCACGTTCTCGAAAAATTACTAAAATAAAATTTAGATTATTACTGATCTATTTCTGGAATTTATAATAATTTAAAATTGTTTTTTTATGTTTTTAATATATGAATAATTTAATTCAATTCCCGATTTCCTTGGAATTTTTAAAATTTAATATTAAAAATTGCTTTCAAATAATTAACTTCTCTGACTTATTATTAGATAAAATGATCCGTTATTATTTTATTATAATCCTATAAGTTTAATATAAGATTTTGAATACTTTCCAAAATTCATTTGTAATTTAAACTTATTCCTGAATAATCGAATTTCATGTCGTTTCATATATAAATGTAATATTATTTAGCATTATTTAAGAAAAATAACATAAAAAAGTGCAATCTTTGATGTTTTCATTGGAGTAAATTTTCTTCGAAATCGAATCTTTTATGTTGACATTATAGAAATACTATAAAATAAAGAAAAATCTACCCTCATTCAGCAAGAAAAAAATTATTTCTGAATGCAAAGTTAATTTGGCATTCAAACGCTTTCAACTGTCAAAGGGATAAAATGTAGTGTACATTCGATTAAGATTTATTATCAACTTAGAAGGACTGATGTGTATATAATGCTTTATATTTGAAGATCATTGAGAGTAATAGAAATCATGATACGTGTTTCTTTTTATAGATTGAAACTCAAATAATATATATATGTATGCGTGTTTTATACTAACCAGAAATCTGAGCAGATTTTATGAATGTTTAGTTAAAATCATCACCAGCATTCCTGATAAAATTGCATGCATTTTTAGTGCCTATATACTGATATATATTTATTGACGGATCACTTACCGAATTTTTCATCTTTGCATCTTTCATATCTAAATCTATGTATTACTCCAGGAAATGAAGTACTATAAAAAAGACTATTACAAGCACATGATAAAAAAAAACTACATCCTACTTCTTTACATTTATATAAACTATCAATAATATCTGATCGATTTTATCGCCTTAGGATAATAAAGGTAATTTAAATATGAAAAATATAATTATTACAATAGTTATAGCCTATCCATGAATCTGACAAGTTCTTAATTGAGTTAATTAAAATTTATTTCTCTATTTGTTAAGTCATTTGAAATTTTAATAAATTTATTTTATTTTTATTAAAAATTTAAGTATAATAAATCTTTATTAAAAATCTTTTTTTAAATAAAAATTTATCACGCATTTGTTAACATATACAAATTCAACAATCTTTATTAATAAAGATTTTTATAAATGTTTTCATTAAAATTCATTCTCATATCTAGTTAATTATAGCATTAATTCATTTTTTAATTACATATTCAAATTATTAATTGTTAAATTAATATTTTCATCTCATTTTAAATAATGTAATCAATATTAATTAACATTTATTAAATTTTATAGAGTTCATTTATTGAACTCAATATTAGAACTGTATTTATAATAAAGACAATTTCTAACAAAAGGTATCATGATGTGAACAACATCTCTTAGGAAACAGCATCCTGTTGTAATCGGATAACACCAAAGAGATTTAAAGGAACTTTATCCACATCGACAAGTCATCCCACTTAGTTCACTGTTAAAGCTTAAGTCCGTAACTATATACCACAACGGCTATGTAACGGTGAATAATTAAATGCCTAATTAATCTGCATATTGTGTTAATGGTAGTAAGTGAGAAGTTTTTCCAAAAAAAAAAAAAACTGTTTACTACAACCTTCAATATTCAATTATAATATATATATAAAAAAACGTAACACATNAAGTAAATGCAAGACAGAAGATGATGGCATTTTATATAACGATGTTTTTAGAAAATTCTTTATTGATGGCCATATGGGTTGGATTAAGAGGTGATGTTAAATGGTTTCATTATCCTGTTATTGGAATAGTATGGGGTGGATTTGTTTTGGGAATTATATTTATGATATTATATTATTACTTCTTTCATATCAGACGATTAAAACATAATGTAGCTGTTGCATCTAATCCAGGTTCTGACTGTTCAGTTTGTCCGACAGGTTCTTGTGCCAATCATTCAGGTAGGACTAGTTCATATTATATCAGTGAACCTTCAGCTAGTGATACAGCTGGCGGAAATCACAAAACTGTGTACAAAACTCGTAACAGTGCCATTTTTCACACTGCCAATGCTCTTCAGAATGGTGTGACTAATATTCCAGGTGTTTTCAACTGTCGTTTAAATCCCGCTCTTAAGAGAAAGAAGAAGAAACCATCTACATTTGTGCCCCCACCACCTCCAGTAACATCTTTAGCAAGTAATGGTAAAACATCCAATGCTTTTTGGAAGAAAACATCACCAAAATCTGGTGGAAGTGATCACGAAAGTAGTGTGGGATCTCGAGTGAACATTCAACAGAAATTACAAGAGAAAAAACAACAGCAGCTTCAAGAATTAAAAGAAATTGAAGAGGAAATCAAACAAGGAAAATTAAAGAGGCCTCGCCCATTAGAAATTAGCGAACAAGGAACACTCAGGCAACCTGTTCCACAGTCAAAGAAGCAACCTTGGTTACGTCCAGAATCTCCATCTAGTGGAATTCAATCCCATCTTCCATATCAGTCCATAATTAGTCCATTAGCTACAACTGGTATTCGATTAAAAGCAAAACAGAGATCACAAACACCAGAAATATTACTTCTGCCTAATTTAATCGATAACAGTCGAATTTACTACGAATATCAAGAACCTCGTGCTTTATATTCAGTCGTACCTCGAATAAGTTTCCACCAAGCCTCCGACTTATCTAGTAACAGTAACATGTCAGGCGTATCTAGAAGTAAAGGTTGTGCTCGTAATAGAAACAAAAAAGAAGGATCTCAAGATCAACACGGTGCTATGTACAAATCATATCGTATTCCTTCAGATTTGGACAGCCAAATATCTCTTCCGAGATCATACACTCTTCCCAGGGAATTCCGTTACTATCGCCGTCCCAAGACAAGAAAGGCAATAAGGACCGAGCATTTCATAACATCGAACAATTCGAGCGACGGCGACGTCGATTCTGCAGACGAAAACGACGAAGACATCGTTTTCTCGAGCAGCAGAGTCACGGCACACATTCGCTTTCATCCTTACCCACAAACGTTCAGAAATTCAGCCCTGGGACAGCTCCACGAAACAAAACTATAAAACCAATTACTTTGATTAAATAATAATAATTTACGTAATTGTAATAAGATGTAATTAATTTTACAAACAATTGAAATCAAACAGGAGTTATTACAAGTGAATAAAGTGATAATTATCATAATCTACTGTATTAATAACAATTTTGTGGTTATTGCAAGTTGATTCCTGGTGAATTTTTAATAAGCTAAATATTTAAATTCTAATTTTCAATTTGTAAATATTGAACTTTATTCAACCTTTTTAATTTTAGTTTGCTGAAATTTGAGTGAAATTTAACTTTACTTATTAAAATTTATTATTAGTTAAATTTCATGTAAATTAAGAAAAAAAAGTTAAGTTTAGTTACTCAAGTATATCTGAAATTTTTTCAGTTATTGACATTTATTGATAATTTACTTTTAATTATTTAAATTTACTTTAAATTTAATTTTTAGTCACAAAATTTTAGTTTTACTTGAATATATGTAAAATTTTATTTTTAGTTATTCAAATACACTGTACTTCAAACTTGTATTTTTAATCATCAGATTTATTGAAATTTAGCTTTTGATCACAAAATTTTAATTTAGTTAATCAAGTGTATCTAAAATTGTACTTTCAGCTCCTCACTTATATTTAAAGCTTGAAATTATTCAAATTTATTGTAAAATTAATTTTACTTACTACAATTTATCGAAAATTTAATTTTAATTGCTTAACCTTACTTGAAATATGATTTATTGAAAGTTTTACCTTTAGCTACGAATATGCACCTGAAAGTTTGCTTTCATTTATTCAGAGATACTTCAAACTTGTAATTTTTGTAGATGTAGTGTATTTAAATTTCATTTTAATTAATGAAATTTATTGAAAATTTAATATGGAAGACTTTTTAACAATTCTTCATATTTTGTTCTGTTTTCCAAACTTCATAAAACATCTAGTTTTCCATAATTTCAATTACTTGGAATCTGACTTAATTATTCATATTAATTTGAAGGTTTAGTTTTAGTCAATCATATATATCTGAAATTATTTTTCAGCTATTCTCATATTATACAAACTTTTATTCAGATTTATTACAAATTAATTATTACATATATTAAAATATTAAATTTTTAATTATTCAGATTTCTTTGAAATTTTAGCTGATTTATTAATACTACATGTAGAGATCAGTTAACAGTATAAAATGTAATTTTCTACTGTATTTGCATTATTTTTATTTGTTTTTCTAAAAATATATTGTATTAAATAAGTAAATGCATGTAAAAACTAGAAAATTTCTTCGAAATTATTAAATTTAATTTATTTAAATATTTCATATATATACACATTCAAATTCGATATAAATCCCTTCAAAACAACTCTACTGTCATAAAGGGCCACTAAATATTTATATTCCTCTTCCTTATAAATATTAAATATCAAACTTGTCAATAGCTGAAAATTACTAAATCTGTAATTTTACATTAAAAAAAGGTAATTTTATCATCAAATCAAGTAATTAAAATTCTCAAATTTAACATTATGTGCAGCCCTTATTATTACTTTATAGAGAATTTTTCTTGTGGAGACAATTGGATTTAGCACCACACTCGATTTAATCACAATTCCGGAGACAAACTAATGTGACGCTAAATCGAAGTCTGAATATATACATATGTATAGAGTGAATAGAATTAGGGCTGTTGTTAAATTCTATCCAATTACATATCAAATAAAAAAAAATTCCATTTAAGAANAAGATTAATTTAATAATAAATTATGTAAAAATAAAAAATATTTTATTCAGTTTTATTAGAACACATTTAAATATTGCATTAAGTAATGAATGATTTAAAAGTATATAGGCACATATTTGCATTAAATAAAGATATATTTAAAAAATGAAATGAATAACAATATTAATGTACAGAATTCAATATAAAATTTTACTTAATCTATTTTATGAAAATAAAAATTTAAAAATTCATTAATTATCCCAAAAAATTTTTATTTTAAAGCTATGTTTAATTTAAAACATAGTTTTGCTTATCTAAATATTTTTATACCTTTACAGAATTTAGAAAGTTCTATTTACTAAATATTTACTGAATATATGTAAATTAATTTGTGTAGTTATTTTTACACAGTAAATAAAATATGTTTAAACGTTTTTAAATTTAAATTATAGTTTTATTTATTTAAATAAGTTCATATGTACAGTGCATATATATATAATGTATATTTGTATAAACACATGTATTAAACTCTTTATGGGATAGAACAATAAATAAAAATGAAGTAAAATTTTGTATTGTGAACTTTCTTACGTATAAAAATAGTTTCTCAGTTTTATTTGTTGTTTTATCTGACAAAATATTGTCTAAGAGTCATCTACTGAAATATTTTGAGATAGAAGTGTTTGAAGTGTGGACAGAGGTGACTTTGTTCAATGTAACTCGAGCTGTGGCTTTTAGAAGGCTGGTCACGCAATTTCGTCACGCAACCTATACTTTACGTCACGTTCCTATATTGTGCATTATTTTTCTATCAATCTTCATTTTATGAAGAATATCCTAATGCTGTCATTTTAATGAAAAGCATGTTTAGAATAATTTTAATATTTAAAATTTACTTTAAAAAAAAAATTTAAGTACGTAACTATTTCGAGAAATTCTAATAACAAAATGTCACGGAGTCGAATGTAAACTATAGTAATTGAAAGTTATCAGTTTAATTAATTAAACTTAAAACTTTGAATTAATTACAGAAAACAACATTCATTTATTATATTTAATCCCAATTTTAACAGAATTTTAGTAAATATATAAAATTTATATCAAGTCAATAATTAAGAATTTTTGAGTTACTGTTTATTAATTTAAAAAGATCAAATTAAATTAAATACTGAAATACATTATTTTTAATAATTTGAATTAAAGTATATTTAAAACAATTGAGTCTTGAAAACGTTTAAAATTTTTTTTCTTTACGATATATTTTAAAATAAATTCAAAATTCTACTAAAATAAATTTTCACGTTGAATAAAATTTTCATTTGTATATTCGATCAACCGACATTTTGTATTTGTATATTCGATCAACCGACATTTGTATATTATATAAGAAAAAGAAGCGAATATTTTTAACAAAAGTTCAAAGTTCATTCGGAGTATTTTTATAGCAAACTTGGTTCAAATTATAGACAGGCGGTTCAAAATTATAGATTGAAGATAATTATGAAGCTATGAAATTTTTATAATGGTTTTAAACTTTTTTATATTGATTATTCGATTTTGATGTTAAAAAATAATAATTTGAATAATTTGCTCTATTAAAATTAAAATTTTTATTTATACAAACTCATACAAAACGTCAGTATCAATGTTTTTCTTAATGAAAAATTACCAAGAGTATGTTATTTCTTTAATTTTATAATTAAAATATATTTATAAGCTTCACTTTAAGATATATAATTATCTTTTTAGTTTTCTTTTGACAGAAACGAGAAACTTTTGTAGCATTTCATAGAATTTTCGTGAAAGAAAATAAAGTTTTATTACTCATTGTAATGTCATTCTTACCTGCTTTACCCTCTATTGATTTTTTACGAATCTTTCTAAGACAGAACAAACATTAATTTTACAACAAAAATATGTCATATTTACTTTCTAGTATTTTTTTACTTGTATTCAATCTTTAACAAAATCCTTAAGTCATTCGAAGAAACAAAGTATCATAATGTATCACATAATTAATTAATTAACGTTATGTAATTTGAACATGAAACAAGATAAATCAATTTCCAGTCGTGTAAAATGGTGTACATTATGCTATTGTGATGTAAAATCACAAAAGTACTTTCAAAGAATACTTCAAAGACAATGCTATTGTATAGCAATAAAGTCGCAAAATAACTCAAAGAATTCTTTAAAGACAATACTATGGTATAAGCATAAAAATAACTGAAAGAATTCTTCGAAAATAATAGTATGGTATAGGTTAACATTACAAAATACTTCAACGAATACTTCGAACATACTGCTAAGGTAAACATATAAAATTAAAACACTGCAAAAAATGCTTCAGAGAGATGTTCTGTTATAGACGTAAAATCATAAAAATATTTCAAAGAACACTTGAAAGATAATGATATCATGGTATGGGTATAAAATACAGGAAAAAAATCAAAGAAAACCTTTTAAATCGAATTTTTCTTTTTTAAATTTGTTAGTATCAATCAGATATATATATTTGATATTAGTTTTGATCTATGACACATGAAATTTATCTCGAATGAAAGACCATTGTCAAAAGTTCTTCCATCTAAGTCGAATTCGACTTGTGTCTGTTCATCGATTGCGCCATCTGGTGTTACAGTGCAAGCTTTTCTTGTGTTAGATGTGCTGAGAATGACTAATGTAAAAAAACACGTTGAAGTTTAGTAACTTTTCTACCGGAAAATTTTCAGTCCTTTTCCTTTTGTAAGAACCATGCGGGTGTCCTTGAGTTTTTAAAAGTTTGCTTTAACTATTTTCAAACCGCTTTGCGATTTAAGTTACTTTTTTTCTTTTTATTTTCTTCTTAACTCGTTCTTATTGTACAGTTATAACCGCTTTATCGAATTTGCTATTTCAGCTGTGTGATGCTTGACACTCGAGATAGAATGCGGACACTAAACTGTTTCTATTAAAAGCATACACCGTACTGAACTAGAAACTAAAGTGTTTTTAAGACACTATTTTACGATCGTTCACTTTATTAAATATTCTCTTAACTTAAAATGAATAGAGTATAAGTTTAGTTAATGATTTTTTTTACTCTCTTTTAGCGAAAAAAACTGTAATAAACCATTAAATTCGAAATAATAATAAGTACTTAAGCTTAGATATTTATTTTCGCAAGATTTAACTTACGAAAGAGATTATTATGGTAATATGCCACAATTACTATGCTTAATTTTGTGATTTTATTTCTAAAATTAAAAATGCTCGCAGAAAATGTTTTCATCTTGATTTAAATTTTTTTTAATGTGT